TTAAAGCCTGCTTTGTTTTTACAAGTGAATGATTTTTTTTACTATGCTGAAAAAGTGGAAGACCATATGCAAATAGGCTTCCCTATTTGTTTGAAGACTTATCTGCATTTGAGTTTTCTTAACCTCAAAGTGGTAGTCTAAAAGAAGTGTTTATTGACAAGAACAACAAGCAATTCACATTTTTCAGTTTAACTTATTAAAAAAGGCAGTATCCAGTAATATGAAGTGAAAATGTGTTTGCCTTTCTGTCTCCTTTCTAATTCATGGGAAAAAAATCACACTGACATAGGGTCAGTTAAAAGCTGTTATTCTCAGAGTCGTTGGTTTGTCAGCCTGGGAGGTACTGCATTATTGAAAGCAGTAGCTCTATGCATGCCACCAGCTTTGCATTTTTGGAACATTATTATTTATACTCTTTTTGCAGAAGTTTTGTTAGCTCTTTGGTGAGCTGGCACTGGCCACGTGAGTTGATCTGCACACACACTCCCTGTCAGGATTTACATTTATATGTTAGCAATGATTGTTGCTAGCAGGGAAGCCAAAGCAATAGTACTGCTCTCTCTTAATTGGAGTACACTGAATTTCTGTCACTTGTGTATATAAGGGATCACAACTCAATATAGCACAGATTTGCCAGGGCTCTCTATTTTCACAAACTATTGGGTTTTTTGTGTTATTTTGGAGGTGGTAAAGAAGATGGGGAACAGAAGGGATCAGTGACACTGCTAAAGATGCTTCTACGAAGACTGTTTTAGAAGAGTTGTGTGTGCTGTGCCTCTGCTGGCAGGGGAACAAGAGGCTGGGAAGTGCCAGTGAGCCTTGCTCTTTGTGCCACAGTCCTGACAATCTGCACCAGCATCATGTTGCTGTGGATAGTGATTCTTCTGTAAACTATTCATTTGCTGCTCAGAGCATCAGTCAGAGCACAGAAGGGTTTCTTCAATATGCAGGTTATGCAACAGCTCATGGAAAATTTTGTTAGGATGTACTGTCCTTAGAGGGTTACTAAATTGCTTCCCTGATTAAAAATAAAATCAAATATGTTTTTTCTATCTCTTCTTTTGTGGGGAAAAAAAAAGTGTTCTCCCAGTACAGACCTTGACATAAAATTGAGACATAAATATCTCTGGTATATATCAAGTTGAGGATCACAGTAAGGACCTCATACTTCCTCTTTTCAAGCCAACAGATAATTTTTTATTTAGCATGCTTTTGCACCTACGAAGTATTTTTCCATGTGCTGATTTCAATCATTTTGCAGGTAATGTGCTCAAGACTTAAATGGCTTCTCCTCCAAAATAAATTCAGAAGAGAAATATTGTTGGAGGGATGATTTATTTCCTTTGGCATATACTAAATAGAGATAGTATGAGTCAAATTCTAGATGAACAGATGTTTTATCTGCACCTTGGTCATACTTCTTATTAAAGGTAAATTATAAATAGTTTAAAATGGTTAGTTAATACTTCAAAAGTTTAGTATATTGTTATGATGACAACAGTATATATTCCAGGTAGTTAGGTCAAACATGTTTCTAAGTTGTTAGTTAATTGCTAATGATTGTCTTGAAATCAAAGTATTTTTTTAAATAAAATTTTAAATAAATAAGCCTTTTCAGTGTAAACATTATATAGGGAGAAACAGGAGGTGCTGAATAACTAACACAGAATATTTCAAAGATCTCTGTTTTCAGTGGAACAACAATATATTTAATTTCTACATTACTTTAAAATCAAAGGCATTTCAGGGGAAAATAATGAAGAGAATGAATTTATTAAGAACGAATTTCAGGTATACAAAATAAATATGATATTCATATTCTCCAGCCCTAAGAAAAAGAGAGACCGTGCTCTTTACCCTTGGTATGGCTGGAAGTAAAAATGGCACAACTTTGCCTTTTGAACTACAAAACATTTCCAAAAAAAATCCCTGGGGAATGTATGAGAGGCAACACCTAACCCCCTGGGACCAGGCTTGTGGTTCATAATCCTTCCAGCTGGGCTGATGCCTGAGCCTGCTCAGAAAAAACTTGACAAAAATCCTGCCCTATTTTTACAGTAATTACTATTTTTGCATGTAGTTGAAGTCATGAAGACTGAGGTAAACACTTAATTAAGGATCAGATTTAATGTCTGAAATGTACGACAACTTATTTATCATTTAGGGACAGGTGATCAGTGTGCTCTTGAAAGAGATGTGTTTATTATATTTAGAGGAAGTCTCCTTTTGTATAGTAACCAAGAGATTAGAGTTCATATGCAGAACCAGGAGCACAGGTCACAGCATAATCCTCAACTCCTTTAGCCTGCCTGAGAATTCCTCCGCACTGGAGTGCCCAGACTACACCTGAAGCCCCATCCCTTGGCACATCACAGTGTTTTGTAGGGCTGTGATTAGTTCTGTACAAAGATCCCCCTTCAGTAGCACAGCTCCAGCCTTGGATTTCTGACCTCAAAGCCGCCTGTGGATTTTGTGTTAGGGAGTAGCTGGAAGGGAGCCTGCCAGGGCAGTGTTTCTGAGAGGGACCTGAGTCACGCTCCCTTTTCGTGTGCAGTCTCTGCAGCCTTGTGAATTGTGCATTCCTTCCCGCACAGTGGCACAGCTTCAGCGACGACTCCCACCACTCCCAGCGCAGTTTTGCTTGGAGCCTGGTTGCTAGGAGATGGCAGCTCTGAGTCCCCTCCTCACCACAGCCAGCAGAGACCCTGCATCCCAATCCTTCCGCCTCTTCACCATGATTGGCGACAAGTAGCCAGAACTCTGGTCTCCCACTTCTTGGCTGTGTGCTCCCCTGCTGATCCTCCAGCCAGGCTCTGCTTTCTGGGCTTTGCCAGGAGCTCAGTGCATCTGCTCTGCAAGAGATCCAGTTAGGGCTTCAGTGCCCTGACTAGAGGGGCTCTGGAGGACATGTAAGTTCAGGGACATCAAATCTGTGGGTTCCAGACGGTGAGGATAAGGAGACCAATCCTGAGATGCTCTGCTCAGCTATAGGAGTTAGTCCTGTTTGCACTGTGCCCCTTGAGCACAGTTTAGTCCTTGATAGTTTAGCAGAAGTTCTGCTGTTGAGCTCTGTGAAAAAAAATGACACTGTGACTGAGTCTGTGGCAGGAAGTATCATTTAGTTTTAACATAAGGAGGCACAACATCTGAGTCTTGAGAGTGTTAAAATTTTGGACGATGAGTTAAGCTATGTTGCCAAGATAGAACTTTACTGTGTAGCTTATGAATATTCTCTGAGAAAATAATACATTTTCTCTCATAAGAGATATCAATGACCTTTGGAGATAAAAGACAAGTGATATTAATGTTGAATTCTTGGCAAAAATACATTGCAATTCTGGCCACTTTTTAAAGATTCTTACTTAAGAAAATGCTTAGGAGACCACTTTGGCCAAATCTCTTAAAAATGTAAAGTTTTGCCTTAGCTCATAATACTGCCCAAGAGGCCCCATTCTTATTGTTTATGAAATTAATTCATAAACAGTATTCAGTATTCCATATTAAATATTAGAATTACTGTTAATAGTATATATCCCTTCTCTGGGTTATTTCAGTTGTGCTTCAGGTGAAAGTCTCTTTCACCAGTAAATACCTGCAACACAGGGATGTCTCCATCTAAGAAAAGTCGATAGTGTCTTTTAGAGAAGTGAAACCAACAACTGCTCTTAATGCATACAGGATTCACAGCCCTTTTTACTTCAACACAGAGACTAAACACTACTTGAACTATTTGATCTAAGTAAAAACTGTAAAAAAGGTTTCACATATTTTATAGAATTCTTAATAAGTCTGATATATTTATGAACCATAAAAGACTTGTGAAGTGGAGATATGCATAAAATAGCAAAAATTCTTACACAAAGGGGAGGTAATTTTAGCAGATTTTTTTTTCAGTTAACTACTCTGAAAATTTCCTTTAAAAACAAAACTTCCATAGATCCATTTTATTTGAAAACACTGAAATATGTTTTCATCACAGAGTATAAAATCAAACCCATAAAAAAGGTCAAGAAACAAAGAAAATGTTCAAATATATACAGACTAAATCATATTTTGTGTCACTGAGGTCCCTGTGGCAGGATGAGCAGTCACACAGTGATAGTTTTCCTTGTTTCCAACTACTAAAATGCATTAAATCTTCTCTCAATGCTTTTCTTTATTTCACCTGTGTCATTAATAAAGTTGCTACTGTGGCATTCTGTGATCATGAATGGAGGTGAGGTACTCTAAGCAGTAGATACAGTAAGTACCGATGGGGAATAATACACTTTCACCTGAAATATCTCCTTTCAGGGAAAATTGAAGTGCTGTTGTGCTAAGTTCTGTTAAATACTACCCAATCATCAAAGAGGCAAACAGAAAGCATTGAGGAAAACTCACAGTGTACAAACAGACACTGCTGTTACACAGATAACAACAGTGTTCAAATCACTTTTGTGGAGGCAACCCTACTTTAATGGCCTTTGTGCAGAAGGACACTGACTCAAACTTCTCCAAACACAGGAATGCTGTTTTATTCCATTCCTCTATTCCTTCTGTAATTTCTGACACTGATACATCAAAATTAAGTAGATGGTGCATTCTGTATTGGTTTAGCGTATCAAGAAATATATGATTCTCTGACTTGTAAGAGTCACTCCAGTACTCAGGAAATGGCTGTTTCTTATCCTTTCCCATTATTCTGGACAGCATTGAGTTTTGAAGAAGACTGTGAGCTCTTCAGGGTGAGAGGGTACATGTGCTCCTTTGAGAAACAGCATGGCTGGTTTGTGGAGCACAAATAAATGAATATTTTCAGATTTTTAGGAAACCTCTATTCTTACTTATTTCCATTGTTTCATTTATGCTGATATTTGGTAAATCAGAAACATATCCATGCTTGTTTAACATGCATTATACTTTTGTAAAAGCAATAGATGTAGAATCTTAACAATGGAAAAGACCTTCACATGCAAGGTGAAATGTAACCATAATTCCAAACCTTTTCTTGTTTTTTGCAGGATGAGGCTGCTCCAGCTGACAAGCAGTGCAAACAGGAGCCATCCCAGGTCACTTACTCAACATCAGCTGTTTCCAGCACGCAGGAGGTGCTGTACATCAACGGCAACGGGACCTACAGTTACCATAGTTACAGAGGGCTCGGAGGTGGGCTGCTAAATCTCAATGATGCTTCTAGTAGTGGTGAGTTTCCTCACAGATTGTGGCTGTATGTATATGTGCTGATGTGTACTTCCCCCTGCCGTACAGAAAGCTAGTCCATGGGGTTCAGTAGCCACAGCCTATTATCACACGATGAGCAGGAGCACAATCCTGCAAACAGCTACTGCTGAGCAAAATATTTGCTCCCTGCATGCTAGTCTCTTTCCAGCTTCAAGGGACTAATACACAACAGGGCAAGACTGAACCACAAGCCTCTAACAAAGCTGAGTAAAAATAATGCCAGGTTAGATCTTCAGTCTCTCTGCATAACTTTATAGGACCTTATCCTTACTGTCCTCTCCTGCACTGATCACAAACGGAGGCCATTATTATATTTTTGGCTCAAGTTTCAAAACATGCAACTCCATTTTGTGTCACATAAATAAATTGACATAGGTTAGTCACGCGGTCTCACCAGCTACTTTAATTTACTGAATATAAGAATCTGGCATACCAAGTGTTAAATGAGAAATCAGCATATTCATTTATACCCTACACTAAAAATGATAAGGTAACCATGTCACCATGAGGTTGTATGTCCCTCTGAAAAAAAAAACAAGTGGTGTCATTTATTTAGACAACATTCCTTTCTTCTTATATTGGCATGCTTTTGTAACATAAAAATGTAAGCAAATTGTAGTATTTGTTTGAAATTATCCCTCATATTGATTTTGTACAAATGCAGAGCAATACCCTTCTGATAAAAAGGGTATTGTCTCTCTGTCAGAGAAATGTGATTCATCTGGAAGCCTGAGGTTTTATTGACTTCCCAGGACTGTATTTAAAGAAAAGTCTCAGAGAATGTAGAAATCCCTGGGGTTTTGCCCTGGCTGATCCCTCTCTGGCAGGCGAGAGTGCCAGTTCAGGTAGAGCAGCTGACTTAGCCTAGATGAGAATGGCTCAGCTACAGCCTCTGCATTCGGCATGCTCAACAATTTTCAAAATGCTACCAGGACTGCAGCCTGCAAGGAGCTAATAGAATGTGGTGTGCTGAGGACCTTCAGTCACATCTTCTTCCTCACCCCCTGCCCGCTAAATTCTCAAAGGTCTGTGAATGATTTGTGCCAAGTTTTTGAAAGTCTTTAAATAGGTAATACTTTAGTTGTCAAAAGCCTTTGACTCAGTGTGAATGATGATTACAATTGTTTCCATACACATGAAGAGCACATCTGAGGCACTGAATATGGTCTCTGATCAAATATTTTCATAACAGTAAGACAAGCCATGGAAATCTGGGTTTGTTTGTGAAAATGCACAAGAACTTTTAAATTGTATTTACATTATGCCCAGAGAGGATATGACCCAGCCCCCACTGAAAACAGTTGGCATTTGCTCTTTTACCCAGCTAAGAGGAGGATTAAGCTCCCCATGTGTTATTTGTCAGCAAAAGCCATCAATATTGTCCTGGTTTATATAACCATAAACTGTGAGGAATCACAACTGTTTTGTGTACTTGTTTTTCCCTTCAAACTTCTTGTAATAAGATACATTTTCATAACTTGCATTTTGCAATGACTTGTGGGATTTAGGCAAAAGTATTCTATGTCGCTTCAGCTTGCAATTTTAAAAAATTATGTACAAATTAAATGCCATCTGTAGCATCACAGGAGAGGTTTGTTGGGAACAGATAATAGGCAGCAGCACCCACCATCCAACCACCAGCATTTTTAGCCATCAATTTGTCTTGCCTTCTGATTACAAGCCACATCTTCTTTGTGCCTTTAACATAGAGGACTCCAGTGTTTTTTTCACAATTAAAGCTCAAGACAGGTTTGTATACAGACATACGCTCAAACATGTCTTCTTCCTGGTCTTTCCCTACTTGCACTGGACAATTTTGTCTGTATGTCCTTTTAGTTTGAAAAGCCAGTAAGCCATTGCACTTTTCCCATATGGTTGTACTGTTGGAAGGTTGTGCAAAGGTGCCTGTCTTCTCCACAGGGATCCTACAGGAGTCAAAGTATGTAAGCTCCGGGAGCCAAAAGTCTTTGTGTGCCAGGACTTGGAAACCAATTGTTGATGCTGACAGTCTAGTTAGGTTGGTGATTTGTGATCCACTTGCCATTTGGGGAAGATCATTAGGAAAGTTGTGGAAAGACAACTCCATCCATTCCTTAGTCTCATTGACACAAAACCAACCAGGAGCCAACCTAATTATCTCTCGGATATCAAGGGTAAATTGCTGTGGCTCTGGTAACTGGTTTCCCCACCGGAGAAGTGGGAGGACTTGGAGGCCAGGGAGGTCTGTCAGTCCTCTCTGATGTGTCCATTGGTAGACAAGAGGAGTGCTCAGAGTTGCAGTTGACTGGGGTAAGCATTGCCCTCCTGACAGACCTCACAGGACCCTTGTTTGCAGTCATTACACTGTTTCAAGCACTCTTGTTCCAAACATGTGCAAGGCTGTTAAAATGGTTAATGAGATCCTTCTCTGGAGAACAGGATATTTACTTGTGAATTGTTTTCAGGAGCTAAGAACTAATTTAAAAATGCAATTCCTTTTCAATATAGTAACCTATCAAGTGTTCTTGTCACATTTATAGATGTTCTCCTAGTGTAAAAACAAATACACACCTCAGTTAAAATGCATGTATAAACAAATAAGGTCTGGGTTTTTTGAACAGATTAAAACAGAAAAAAAAAAAAAAAAACAACAAGTTGCAATAGCTGCAGTAGCTATATAAAACTCACTGCTTGATTACCTATTTCTGGACCTTCTCCCACAGTAATATAATAATTAATGTCCAATTAACTCTCTGTCTAGTAGTCCAGCTGATGTATGTATTTTGTATTCTGTGTCTCATTTAATTTGGCTATTTCCTCCATATAAAGTTCACCCCTACTCCGACCTTACAGACTTAGCTATCTGTTCACCCAACTGTTTGGTGTCTCTGGCTCAGGGACCTCTCTCTGCCGGCTGTTGCAGTGCTTCCCTCCTCATGGGGAGGTCAATCCTTCCACATGGCTAATTACAGAGCCATAATTAGCTCCTCACACAACCGCATGGGGCAAGCCTTCATGGAACTGCTCAATATGAGCAAACAGAATGTAGCAGCTTGTGCAATGACTCCTCCTTTATTATGGGCTGGCAAAAAAGCACAGAAGGAAAGGCTTGGTCTTACAGCACCAAGGTGTCCTTTCCCCCTCCTTTTAAACATTTTAGGCCACTCCATCTTGGCTGGAAGCATTCACCAAGCAATCTGTGGGTTGACAGAGTCTCTGTCAGCCTGTACATGGGCTGGGGAGAAGCCTTTGATCATGTTGTATTTGATTTGTTTAGATGGTAAAGGAGAGCTACTCTTTGAGAAAGGTGGATTCCACAGCTCTCTTTTTTAAGGCTAATGCAGTTCCTGTTACAGAGCTGAATGGAGAATCTCCAAGGTGCAATACCTCAGTGAATGTAAACAAATTTGCCTGCCAGCTCTTAGCCAGCCACAAAAGGCTTCAGCCGTCCCCCTTCTATCATTCCTGGACTGAGCTCAGAAAAGAGTCCAGCTTGAGGGCAGGAGGGTGAGGACAGGAGATAATGTTGGGAGCAAAAGCTCTTGATACCGCCAGGAGCTGTTGAAGTCTCTGCATGTAGCCTGAGCATCTCCTGAGGGAGTGGGATTGGCTTGTCTCCCCATGTATTTCAGTCGAGTGGGTTGCTGTCTGCCCTCTCCTGATGACTGTCAGCACTCTCTGAAGTAATGTTGGGCTCCTTGGAGTCATGGTCTTTGCAGTTGCTTCATTTCCTGAAGTCCATTTTCTCTAAGAGTTGTGGAATGTGTTTCTGCTGCCATAGCTGGTTTGCCTGGAGGTGATTTGGGACTGTTTCTTCTGCATCACTGTCTGGTTTTCTAGCCAGAAATGTCAATCAGTTCCTTTTGTGTCTGTAAAAAGAGGGTATTTCAGACTTGGTGTTGGGCTGGTCATGCAGAATATGCCCTCATGTCACAGTAAGACAAAGTGTTGTGTCTCCATTTCTCTCCACAGATCTGCAGCCTACCTCCACCACAGCCACAACTCAGCACTGCATCCCAGGCACCACGAACGTCCAGTCCCCTTCCAGCTCAGGTGAGTTCTTTGGCTCAATCCCATTATGTTCCTGGCCCCAGCAGGCTTCTCTTTCAGCCTCCTCTCCCATGGGCAGGCCTACAGACCATGATGGCCTAATGGCCCAGCTGGTGGCTGAGGGACTTCCCCCACACTGCTCACCTCTCCCTGCTGCTCCCTTCCAGAGGCTATGCCCTCCCAGCTCTTCCCTGCTTTAGCCAGGCCTCCTACCCATGTGCCAGTCAGCCTTCCTGGTCCTTCTGCATACTGGTCCTGCAGATGATGCAGCCCTGCTGAAGACAGCGGGATATCTGGGGGAACATCTCAGAGCAGATGCTGCTGACCTCCAAGGATCAGCACAACCATGCTGATCTGCAGCAGGGAGAGGAGTACTGAGCGCTCTTGTCCACTTGTAGGTGAGACAACAGGGAAGGAAGGAACCTCCTTTCCACATCCAAAAATTTGGTCAAGTTGTAACCCTCTGTAAAATCTTGGCACTTGCATGATTGATGGCAGATAAACTTGGTGATATTCTTGGCAGCAAACTAGGGGGAAAAAACCCCAACAGATGAGAATATCCAATATGTAGCTAGTTTTTAAAGTGCTGAGTGGGTTATTCACAGGTTGGCTTGCCAGGATGTAGTAGTTAAATGGGGTTTTTGCTGTGGTTCCTCTCTCCAGGTCTTCTTTATACCTCTACTCTTGCACAGTCTTTTGTGTGCTCAGTGCTACCCTGATGACATGAAAGTGGAGAGAGGGGAAAGAGAACACAGTTTGTCTCTAACATAGATCCTGGAGCGTGAGGAAACAAATCAAGAGTGACAGATGTAGGAACCTGGGACAGTGTGTTTAATCCCATTTGAAAACCCAAAAGGTGGGGTTGGGAGAAGTTAAATGGTTTGACCTGTATTTTGGCAAAGGTGAATTTCTTGCTGGAAAATGCTGGCTGAATTTTCTGTTAAGACCTTCCCCACATTCCTCTTCCTCCTTCCTCATCCTTTTTAAATTGTCAGACATGTGGCACAGGCAAGTACTACTCAGTTCCCACTGCAGGGATGGAAATGGAATGTACTGGGCAGTATCCTACTTTCCTACCTCTGCACAAAGCTGAGGTGACAACTGTTAAAGCAACACAGTATACACCACATAATTAATCTCTTGTGGTGGATAGGGAGGATCTCACATAATCCTTTAATCACAGACCACTGTGCTTCCTGATCACTGAAAATGAATGATGGCTCTAGGCATTCCTATGTTTTTCATATCACTTTCCTCAGGCAAGACAGCATTTTTCCCCTACTGTCTAAAGTAGTAGAATATGTGTCTTCCAGAGGGAGAGGTGTAGAAGGGAGAAAGGAGCTTAAAAGCTCCAATTCATCAGTCCCTGTTTTCTTGATTTCTCCTGGCACTTGAAACAATACTTTTAGGCACATCTGCTCTATGTTTGAAGGCAGGAGGGAAAGAAGCATTGACAGATACATAATATCACAATAAAGCATTCTTATTACAATAAATGCACCTGATTTGGAAAGAAAAGGTAGCATACTTTGATAAGTTTTTTTTCTATTTTGTTTTATTGCAGTATATAAGAATGTAGTCAAACCTTTCCTCTAAAGCCATTCGTGGGGAAAAAATTGAAGAGGAGAATAGGTGCAATAGAAAAGTTACACACAAGAGATTTCAAAGCATGGGCAAATGTATTTTTCTCTAAATAAGTGTCACTGCTTTATGCATTATCACTGATGAAAAAGGTTGCTTAACTATTAATGAACAATAGGTGCAATAGAAAAGTTACACACAAGAGATTTCAAAGCATGGGCAAATGTACTTTTCTCTAAATAAGTGTCACTGCTTTTTGCAAATTCCAAAATATGGGTGAGATGTAGATGCTTAAGTACATAAAGCTTTAAAAATATTTTTTTATTCTACATTATTATCTACAGTAGTGATAACCATTTTGAGAGTCACTGACACATTTATTATTCTTTCAGTAATTGTTAATTGTAAGATTGGTAGCTACCCAGTGACAAAATACAATTCTTAAAGGAATTTTGCTGAGACAGTTGATAGTGTCTAAGCAATCAGTATCAACACATCTACATCTCACCCATATTTTGGAATTTGATATAAATCTCTTTGGTAATGAGTACTGCATGAGGCAGTAACTAGTTCCATCAAAGTCTTGTAATTTACAGAAAAAGCCATTTATTCCACAATGTATTTAGTGTATTTAGTGGCAGACATTTCTAGCAGCTAATTTGATAAATGTTTGTCTAGCACATGAAGAGTGGGTTTTTGGAGGTTTCGTGTTCAGCCTGATGTGGTTCCAACAAGAATAATTGCACCTCACAGGGGAAATTAGATCAATGTAACTGGACAGAGATAGTAAATCAAAAATATTCCCATGTTAAAATATCAATCAGGTGGCCTAAAAAAGAGGCAGATGAACAGTATTTTAGTCTTCTGAAAGAGTATAAAAAAAAGGGTTTGTCTCAGTAATTTGTTGAATCCACTGCTTGTGAAAATGTTGTGCTGTTACAGAAACATGCAAGGTGACAATTTCGTGTTATGGCAATATGCACTAAGAGAAAGAAAAAAATGGAAATAAGACTCCTGTCTTAATCTCTGTGATATATGCTTAATCTTTGCTTGCTCAGCAGACATTGTGGAACCTGATAATGTTTGCAATCAAAATTTTTAATAGTCCTGAAGTATTCCAGAATAGGAAGAAGTATGCTAAAATGTGCAGTAACATCTTGAAGGAACCTGACAAAAATATACAGATTTCCCTCTTTACAAGTTTTTTCTTGTTCCTGTGAGGTCTGGCAGCTTAATAAATTATAGTAAATGCACTAAAGAAAGTAAAAATAGTTATTAAAAGACATGATGGTGCAGCTGTTCAGCTTTTTCCAGATTTAGTAACCTGTAGTGATGGCTTGTGGAGATAGATGTATATAAAGTATCCTTAACCAGCTATTTTAAGCCTTTATAATAGTTGTGACTTTTTTTTTTCTGATTAAAGAGATATGGTAGGTATGAATAAGGTTTAGGCTTCCATGTTTCAGTAGCTCACTTGCATAAAATCACACAGGAAAAATTTACACTACAAGAATGCACTTATAGGTTGCACTTATTCCTTAGTTTTTAAATGACCAGGTATGACTGATGAAGCTACAAATAAGTTACAATATTTTAGTATTCAGCAGCCTGGACAACCTCTGAGAACCTCTATGTACTGCCAGGGAGTGTCTATCATAGCTATTAAAAGCTGAGACCAATATAACACATTCTGGGACTAATCTCTGAGTGAGGTGTTCTTCCAGATATAAAGCTTGGGCTGTCATAGGTAAGCTTTAGAGGTGAGAGGTAGGGGTCACATAAGATAATTAGAAGCTAAAATCCTGATCTCCACATGAAGTATTGGCTTTTTTTTTCCTGTTCAGTCCTCTGGCAGCTTCCCTTTCTGAAAAGGCATGGGTGTTCTCAGTGTCCCAAAATCATAGCTATGAAACTTTTCTCTGTGTGTGTATTCCTTTGGTTTTTTCTTCAGGGGGGTTTTCTTTGAGGGGGAAGGAGGACAGCACTGTGAGTTGTTAATTACAAGGCAGGAGTTGAGGAGTGAAGTAAAATCCCATTTCCTAGTAAATAAAATTTAAAAAAAACAAAACCCACCAAGTAGTTTGAAGGAACTGCCTACATTAAAATTTGAGATGTTTTATTTTTCTTTGTATAAAAGAGCTCTGACACAACAGAAATCTCCCAAACCAAGAGGATTTTTGGATTGTGATTGTTCCTTGTATATGCAGATTGCCATCTGGCTTTTTCCAGTACCTTCAGGATGCAAACAAAAATATTCTGAAGAATTAAAGAACTTTCTTTATGAAAGTTAATCCAGACATCTAGGAATACAGAGCCAGCCAGATCTTCAGACTATGTAAATAACTGCGACCCTATAGACTTGTGAGGACTTACACGCTGATTTGTGCATGTTGGATATCTGGTCTTCTCCTAGTTTTCCTTTCAGATCAGTGCACCATCAGCTTGTGTAAGGAAAACCTGAGGGGTATGACCAAGCACATTTCCACGTATATTTTACTTATGAGTGACATAAACTGATGTCCTATTTTGTCACTTAAAATCTGGATTACCAATGGGAAAAGCCCTTCAGTTACATTTCATAAAATGAAATTATCTGCTGCAGAAGCTCTGTTCTGACAGATATTGTATGTGTGTGTGTGTGTGTGTGAGTGTTTTTGGCAGTGACATGAATGAAAGTCAAGGAAAGAACATAAAAGTTAAAGAAGGTTCATATGGAGCACAATGCCCTCAATATGTCAGTGGCAGCTTTTTCACTACTGCCTCAATAAATATAGAAGTCTTTAATGGCTCCTTACAACCATTCAGCCCAACTGGCATTATGAATGGTATACCATTCTTCCCTGTGCTGGGTTAAGATTTTATTTTAAAATATCCTCTGAGCTTCTTCACAGTCATCATTTTCCTGCAGTGTGCGGTCACACCAACATATTCACAGAGCTAATTATGCTTAATTTATCCTTTGTACACCGCAAGTAATGTTAAAGTCAGTTTATTTATACCAGTGTAAAAGCAGATAATACAAGTTGCAAGGCTAAGTGCTGCTCATGCTAGTTGTGTAGTACGAAATCAGATCTAATAGGACCCTTTCTGTTTGAGCAGCTTCTTTTCATAGTCCCAGCTCTGCTTTTATTTACTCAAGGGGAGATTTTTCATTAACTTCAGTTTTTGTAGGGACATGGCAATCTCCACATTTTTGTGTGGTCTCACCTGTACCTCTGCACAGATTTATGAGAAAGAAAATTAAAAAAGGTTTATGACAGATCTTCAGCTTCTGAAAATCAGACATCTCTTGCCACTGTGCTTATGGTTGCGAGTCTGTGTTTTTGAATCTTATACATTTTGTGGGATTATTTTGGAGAACCTCCACAATATGAATTAGTGTGTTCTGTGTTCTACAGTTGAATATGCTAAATTTTAAAATTATTCCAGTCTTTGCTGGAAAATCTTGGCATTGACATATATTGTACCTGTCAAACTGAAGAGTGACATTTTTCATAGGAAAGCAAGATACATTGCTTTGGATATCTTGATCCCGATTTCCAGGAGAGTATTAAGATTAGGGTCAGGCTAGTCTGATCTTCTGCCTGCTGGATGTATAGATTTGCTATGCTGTCAAAATGAGAGAGCAGCATTTCCCAGATTACACAAAGTATATTGTTTAATAGGTATAGTTGCTATCTATATCCTTCTATATATGTTAAAAAAAGTCCTCAGTTCAATTCTATCTGTCCAAATTTACACTCCAGGAAGAAAAAAAAGTGTTAAGTGGAAATTACAAACACTTCATTAAAGCACCATGGGGTCTTAGCTGGTTAATAACTGATCAAACAGCCAGGGAAATTCCACACAAAGCTGAAGTTCTTGATGGCAGATGTTCTGCCAGTCAGTAACCTGCAGACTGCCCTCAGGAATGCTGTGTTCCATCTGAAGTATTCATGGCCTTGAGAATATTTTTTGAAGAAAAGTGCTAAGCATATTGCTGTGAGCTGCCAATACAACAGCATGGTGATTGCTGCAGAATCTCTTGTCAGTGTTCTGGCCTTACAAGATCCTTGCAATATGTTGCCAGCTGTATGCAGCCCTCACAGATGATAGTGTGCTCCTCACTGTGGCAGCCAGATTGTCACCAGCCTAATCTCATTCATGAGCAGCTATTTATGTAAGTGATCAGACAGCATCAGGGAAGTCATGTGGATGACCATTTATCTACGTCTGCAAGGGATTCAATCTGGCCACATGCTGATTGAAGCATAAAATGTGAAAATAGCTGTCTAGAGAACGTAAGTTGGATTTTCTGTGATAAAAATTGCAAGTGTGCATATTGCCATGAAGTCCACCAGGGCAGCTGGAGCTGTGGGGAGGCACAGGACATGAATCTTCTGCCTGATCACCATTGTCGGATCTCAGGACAGGGTTTGGGGTGCAAGTGGCTCACACTCTTGGACTATGCTCCTGGAGGGTAATTTTCTGCTGGCAGTGGACTTGCCCCTCATGTTCTGTAAATGGGGTCTGTGATACATCATATAAATAAATTGCTGTGGTTCCGGTCAAGGGGACTGGTAACAGAACAGTTATTGCTTATTTCTGCTACTTGCACTCAGCTGACAGCAGGTTCTACTACTCTTCATTTGTATCTACAAAGCTGTGAAAGATCTCTGGCAGCTGATCTGAAGCTTCTTTTCTTTCCCTTTACTGTCTCCAGGTCCAACAGATCTCAGTATGAAGAGGCAGTTAGCAACCAGCTCTGGATCCTCCAGTAGTTCCAGCTCCAGACCCCAGCTGAGCCCGACTGAAATAAACGCAGTGAGGCAGCTCGTGGCGGGGTACCGAGAGTCAGCCGCGTTTTTGTTGCGCTCTGCAGATGAACTGGAAAACCTTATTTTGCAGCAGAACTGAGTCATGTGACCTTCACACCGGCCTGGTCTTATCTCAGAATTTCCACTAATGACATTTTTGATTTCCCAGAGCACACACTTCAGTTACTGCACAGTCTTTTAGGAGAGTTAATTACCATAATGCCACACTGTTCTTGATCCATAAAGTGATGTGTTAAGGTGCTTCAAGTGAACTTCGACCTCTGGTGTTTCCGAGGTACTTTACTGTGTCCAGGCTATTGCTTTTGTTTTAGTGTGTCAGCATAAATATCGAAAAAGTGGCTAGAAATTAACTCATTCTAACAAGTGGAGGAAACAGAAGATGCTGTGATGGTTTTTTAAAACAAGTGGTTCAAGATCCAAGTGCAATATTAGTGGAATGTGATACTGACTCATTGGACTTAAAGCTGCAGTATATGGCAAAACATTGCCAAATGTCCTGTTGCTACAGGGCACAATTGCAATTAAAAGGATCTTGTATTTTAAAAAAATGTAATTTTTATAAAAAACGAAGCAAAAGATTTTTGTTTTCATTCAAGATTTTTCATTTTTACTTTGGTAAACTTTTTCACTGGTCCTGAAAATGTTTTGAGGAGCTATTTTAAGTCCCCCCTTCCTCTCTTGAATCCTTGGCTGTGCCCTTCTCCCCAACTTCATATTCTTTCTACAATGAGTAACTCTTGATGCTGGATAATTTCCTCCCCTGTGTACTGTAAATTGTCATCTATGGAATACCTTCCAAAGGAAGTATGCATTTCCTGCATTCATGCCATTCTCAACTCCATTCTGTAATATATTGCAGCTTTATTAGCAATTAATAAAGAGTTGAGCGTTTTTTAAAAAAGACATATCGTTGAGAAAAAAAAAAAAGATTATTTGATTTCTTATGGTGAGCTCATCTGACTCCATGATCACTGCTGCTGTCTTATACAAGTCCCTCTAGTTGTGATTGGATGTAGATGATGAATGTTAAGAGGTTGCAAGTGACAATCTGAAAATTTGCACTCTTGTGTGTATTTATTTTTTTTCCTTTATTTAAACAAAATTCTTACCAAGGAAGGTCATTGACACTTCTGGTATAATTTGTATAATTCCCAGGCCTAGCTAAAACCTGTACAAAACTGTAAGTGGATGCAGCTGCAACTATAATAAAACTCTTCTCTCCCCTTCCCCACTCTTCCCAACCCCTCTATTTCTTATTTTATAATATTGATTACACATTAATGGTGTTTTCTTTGTGCACTATGGCAGGCTTCTTTTTACGTATATAGAAAAAGGTACTTTAGTTTATGCTTATTGTACTATCTGTTCTGTTGTTTAGCTTTTGTTGAATAACAAGTTTCTTGTGCATTCCTAAATTTGCCTTATTTCATGTACAAAATTTTATGTAATTCCATTTTTGACAATGAGTTTAAGGCATCAGTGATATTTTATATCTACTTGTTACATATAGTTTTCCAAGTAATGACTGTGATTGTGACCAAGTAATGTGCACTTTTTCTTGTAACTGTGGACATTGCTATGCTTTTTTTTCTCTAGTGTTTCTAGAATTACTGTTGCTTACAGTTATGTAAAAGAAAAAGAACTTTTGTGATACTGTTGGTGAATATTAATGTGAAAAAGCCTATGAAATATGAGTATTTTGGAGGTACATAGATACACAAACATCTCTAAGTTGTGGACTCATGTTCACATATTTAAATGAGAATTCAAAACCTGAGGGCTGGAATCATTTCCTCTGTTTTGTTTGGGTAAATAAACAGATTTCTGTGTTTAAATACATGATTGTGAAACATTATAACATTTAAATAGAATAGCATTTAAAGTTATAACTGTAATGGTCTTTAAAAAGGGAAAAAGGCTTTCCAGTCCAATTCATGCAGCCCCTCAAATATAGTTTCTCAATATTACTTAGTAAATCCAGTAGGATTGAGTAACTAGCATATATAATTTAAAGTTGGCTGGAGGGAACAGCATTTTGCCACTCTACATTTGTTCTAATGATGACAAACTATTAGATGTCTTTTTAGAGGCCCCTATTCTTGGATATGAGAATATTGTTGGAAATCCTTACCAGCTGTTGCCCATCACTTGGGAGGTGCATTTGTTTCTAACATCATCTCCCTGTGCCCGTGAAAGCCTACAGCTCATCTCTGCCCTAGATGTTAGGTTACCTTAGCTTTTGTCTCATTGGGAATTCAAAAGCTCCTTCAGACCCAAGGGCCTTTTCCCTCTCTTCCACTTTCAAATATCTACACTGTCTCCTGTCTCCTGCATGCCAGGAGGGAATGAAGCAGGTACCTTGTGCCAGATTACTGTGTTGTCCTCACCCAAAAATGCTCTGGCATACATCTTCTGCAGACAAGAGTGGCAGGTATGCCTAGGTTTCCAGGTTCCCTTGGTCCTGTTGTGCAGGGTAGTGTGCCTCACACTGCCAACTAAGCAGCAGCCAGCAGTTTGTCCAAGAGGCTGTTTGCCAGCCAGGAGTCCTTCTCAACTGAGCATCCTCACTACTTTTCAAGCTCTTTTGCTAAATCCAGCTAAGGACAAGAAGCTAGAGGACAAGGAGGTAAAAAATTTAATTCAGTTTTCTGTCCTCTGACTCCTCTTCCTTCTCCCTCAATTACTCCTTCTCTTGTGGTAGAAGTAGGAAGGTTTGGGGTCACCTTACAACTTTCAAGGCCCATGACTAGTCTCCCCTTTTTCCAGCTCCATTCCCAGCCTACTTCAATAGTTCTCCATGTCTTCTGCACTATGTCTTCTACACACATCCTCTTCTTCTGGGTGCCTCCTCTGGAATATTTAGGGTCTCCTTCAATCATAGGAGCAATTGATGTCCTCTAAAGTCTTATACAGATACTTAACAGTAACTGAGTCCTCAAGTGGTTTGTCTATACCAAATTCCATCAGATAGATGGGAGTTTTTATTCTAGAGCTGTTTCTACCCCTAAGTACTGGGTTTATTAATTTCTTCTTTGGAACAATGACAGATTCAATTATAGTTTTAGCTTCCTCTTCTAAGAGGGTACTGAAATTCAGACCTATCCTGTGAAAGAGAGACCATAAACCTCTGTCCATTTTTGTGTATGAAAATCTAGATCCAAGCATTGCAACTAAATTTTTCCTCTTGAATCCAGGTCTCAGAGCCCCTTACTTTGTATCTGGTTTGAACCTTCTAAGGCAGTAAAAGCACAAGGGAGAACATCTTGCTCAGGCACCCTTTCTTTCTCTCATCCACATCTTTTGTAACAAAGGGCTGGTTACCTCAGCCTAAATGTTGCTGTTAGGATAAGGCTAGTTTCTACCAGCATGGCTGTGTCCACTGGGTATGGCTGCTTAAGGCTGCCTTGAGAAGAGCATTACCCTTATATCCAACATCTTTATAAAACTAGTCCTTCAAATTTGGTGGATGTCTCACTACAGCATTTCATCAGTGCAGACTGGCAGGTGCTGGTCCTTCTTAAAACAGCCTCACATCTTCCCAGCTATCCTGGAGTTTCTTTGGTGAGTGGTCCTGTCAGACCTCTAGTCTCCAAGGGATTGTTGGGCAGGGAGGGAGGGTGGGAAAATGTCATAATGTCCATAAATTTCCTACAGAGTTAAGTACCAAACCTGACCATGGTCTGAGTGTACTGAGCCTCTTTAGGCTTACATACACACTGGGAAGATGAGTCAGTCATCCATTCTTCTCTCCCTGATTTCCAGGGTAGTTTTCATTGACAGCTGTGGGTAATATCTTTAGATTCACCTTTGTGTTATGAGAGTGGGCAATTGGGCTAGCTTATCAACTAATCAGATTGGTTTACTGCTTTCAATGCCTGCTGGGAAACTGGAGTCAGAACACATGAAAGGAGATCTGGAGTTAGACATTTTTTATCCAGATTGGCACCTTGCTGCCTGTCATTGAAGGATGGCACCACCATACCATCCATGCTGAGTATCAGAAGCTACAGAAAGAATATACAGAGGTAAGCAAGTATTTGACAGTTCTAAATCTGCCCATCCTCTACAGAGAAGGAATTTTCTGGGTGTGGGAAAGCTGGTGAACATGTACGTGACTGTGGTTATAAAACTAATTGGAAAACAGAGTTATACTAAAGTGACTGGATATTCTTGCTCTAATGGCCTGAGTCACTGCTGAATGCAGTGTAGGTGGAGGTAGGTTTTGTTGGTAAAACTCCATTGAAAATGAGGAGCTATTTCATTTCTTAAAAGTGCCTAGCACTGTGTTAAAAGACTCCCCATAAATTTGTGAAGCTTCTCTGAATCTGGCTTTGAAAGACATGTGAGGCATTAATAAGTAAGACCTTTTCTATGTAAAGAAAAGCTGATTTTATAGATCCTGAAGTCAGGATCTAGTCCAGGCTCCACCCACTATTGAAAAACCAGCATGTGAAGAAGAATTGTGAAATAATGGGAGAAATCAAGCAATGTCATACAGATGGTTACCGGATTAAATATTTAAGAATATAAAATGTCTGCGCTGGACAAGATCAGGCCTTGTAGCCTGTCTCTGAGTAATGTGTAAAACAGATAAATATGTACTAGATATAACAGGCTAGAAGAATAGAGCAAGCTTATAGCAAGGATTTCTAAATGCATATCCATGGCCTACAACAGCTTGAGGCTGTGGTGGGCTGTCCCTGGCAGGCAGGTAAGTCCCCACCCACCCTCCCCACAGTGGCACAGGGAAAAAATCCAAAGAGCAAAAGCGAGGAGAAAAACTGGGTCAAGCTGATAAAGTGAAGAATGAAAAAGAAAAAGGGATGCAGAGGTAATCCCTCATCACTTCCCACCGGGAGATGTGACACCCAGCTGATCACCAGGCAATGGCTACTTAGGATGTGTACCCCACCCCAATTACCCCTATGTCTTTTTGGCCAAGAATGATGTCATATGGCAAGATATATCATTAAAAAATATCAGGCAAAAAGAGAAATGGGTTGCTTGAGACCATGCAACCTGTGAATGCCTGGGTCTGTTGACCCCTTTCCATGGTCAGGACTAAATCAAATGTTGTAC